ACGGCAATTACAAGGGAACCAGCTAGTGGGTGGTTGGTCGGTCGGTTGGTGTATGGCTTTGGCTTTCGTTTTGGCTTTGCAATGTTGCCACTGTTTGGCATAAGTGCGCACAGCAGCAACGCAACGAAACCAACCAGAATCCGGCAGTACTTCTTTATTGTGTTACCACTTATGTCCTTATTACGAGTATATCCATTAAACTGTGTGTGGAGCCAAACAAGCATTTTATTGTTTTAATATTATTATTATTACTACTTTTGTTTGAACATGTGCGAGAAAAATGGAAGCAGCAAATTAAGGGGTTGATTCAGCCATGTCTGATGGGGTTGGCCTGGGGCAAATTGTGCAATTCAAATTATTAAGCCTCACTGTGAAACTGAATTGTGTTCATATAAGAGCCCACATACTTTTACGAGTTATTCTATTCCTTTTATGGGATATGCATACATTAGCGTTACCAAAACAATTGAATAAATACTTCATTAAAATTTTTATTAGACTTTTATTGTCAGTTATATGTCAATGATGAATCCTTAATTATGATTTAGACATTTTACTCGCAGATTACATTATTCCACATTACTTCGTTGGATATACCTAATCTCTCTTTAATTTTTATTCATTAAAGTGGAATTAAGTGTTCTCTAAACTATCCTTTTAAGTGTTTGTTGCAACCATTCGCCATTCTTTTACCAAATACTCGCAGATTACATTGTTCCACACTACTACGTTGGATATACCTATTCTCTCTATAAATTTTATCTATAATATTAGAACCTAGAATAACTTAAGTGCTTTTTTAAATGTTTGATGCATTTAACATTATAATGTTGAATTAGATATGTATCTAATCTCTCTGTAATTTTTATTTATTATATTGGGACTAGAAGTTCTCTTAATTGTTCTTTTAAGTGTTTGATACATCTATCTATTATTCTTTTTCCAAATATTCGCATATCAAATTTATTATTATTATTATGGATAGGTTGTGCATGCACTGCGACCTGAAAGATATTTTGTGCAGCCTTTTGCCCAACTAGATCAACTCCAAAACTTTGAAGAATTTTGTCACAATAGTGGGTCGTATTGTAGCTAGATGTTCTGGGTTCAAAACTGTACTGCTTAGATAGTTAAGTCGCGGTTTGATTTTGTCGCGGCTGGGCAGACGCATAAAACGTGTTCTGGTGTTTCCTGTTGCCATTGAGAGAGTCGGCAGGAATCGACGGCAGACCAATCTTTTTTAGAAGGTATTGCAGTCTACAGTAGCCTGTTAGCAGTTCCGTGTAGTGTTTGGTAACTGTTCTGCTTAAGTTCAGATCAGCTTTAACCTTTATATGTTCAGGGATAAAAAGTCGTTTTGACTGCTGCATGTCTTTTTGTGCTCTCCATAAGTCAGTTAGGGTTTGTTTTTCTCTTTCACTTACTAGGCTAGTGAAAGAGCCTGTTTTACTCCCTTTTTGGCCATAATATCCGCATATTATATAGTTCCTCATAACTATGTTGGATACATGTAATCTCTCTGTAACTTTTATATAGTATAGTGGAACTTAGAGTTCGCTTACCTGTTCTTTTAAGTATTTGTTGCAACGATTCATCGTTTTTTTCTCAAATTCATCTGACCCCTCATATCGATCGTTCAACCAAAAATCCACTAACGTTCAAATACGTTACAGGAAACGAAAATCTTTGCTGATTGCCTCATTAGATAAGTAGGAGAAGTAAGTACTACTTAGTTCCTCCTTTGCTCCACTGTTATGCTGCTTCAATCTAATAATTCATTCGTTTACACATTGCAAAATAAAAGCTCGGGAAGGAAACAGCAAGATATGGCAAGAAGAAGGAAGAGTTAGGGGTTCCAATTTCAATGTAATCGTACAATGTCGCATGTGCTGAGTGTGGAATCCGCACACAATGGAAGTGTTAGTAAAGTTTTGGCATCATCAACAGATTATCATCATCGACAATTGAATTTCTTTTGTTTGTTACTTGCGATGATTATGCCGTGGATTCCGATTTCAAAGCAATGTAAATTGCAGATGATTCAATTCATGCACCAATAAAGATTTCCTAATTTGAATGCAAATTCGCATTGGCATTGGGACAGACATTTCCATACTCAAATTCATCTTTGTAAATATTGTTAAAGTACTTTTGATTTGTTTACTTAATTTGCAGTTACTTTTTTGGAATTTGTGTTCAGGAATTTGTGCTGTGTTTATTTTAGATTTAGACAATTGTTTGGAGTTTCTGGACTGTATAAATTGATAAAGTTTCTGAGGTGGAAAATTAGGTTTAAGAGAATCGTTATTGTACCGAAAGTTTTCCAATTTCAAAAAGCCTCGAAGCACTTTGAAATAATTCAAATTCAGAATGTTATTTTATTTTAATATTGCTATGATATCTCACGCATCGACGCATCACATACGCATCATTTCAGAATTAAAGAAGAAGAGTAAAGGTGTCCCTCGTTCAAATTGAGTGGTGCATAAGTAAATTGCAATTTTTTATAATAAATTGAATACTAAATAAATACAAACTGGTTAATCAGACTTCAGATAATTCGAAACAATGAAAAATGGACGAAACATATGTACGCGAGCGTTTCTCATTACGGAATAGTCGGAATAATAAATCAAACCCTAGGGTTTTAAAGATCATCTGTTAAAATTTTTGCAAAAACTTTTTTGTCTTATGTGTTCAAATATAAATAAATTACTATATTATCTACTAAATCAAGTCACATATTACAAATGTCTTCTGTTTTAAATAAAATATAAATCAATTTTGGCAAAATCTAAAATAGAAACCTATTAAGGAATAAATTTAAAATAATCAAATATTTATAATAAATAATAAATATCATTATTTTTTGCAGTTTTCATAATTACTTGACTGGTTACTTGATCTATACATTTCGTGTCTTTGATTAAAAAAGTTGATAACTTTTAGAAACTTATTCTTAAGGTTTATAGTGCCTTATTAATAAAATGACATTTAAAGTCCTTCTTCTCTAATAAATAGTAGTACCTGACCTTTTGGAAGTTTTCAAATTTCACATCTCCGTTATTTTTAATCCCCACACGGTTCAGAACTTATATTATTATTCAATAATAGACTATGAATGTGCGGGTAAGTGCCCAACTAAAACAGTTCTAGACTATTTATAAATCTCGTAATGCTGTGGGCTTAATTTTACCTATTTGATTTGGGACTAAGATTCCGCTTTTAAGGTAGTCAAGTCTACGTCTTGCCGCTGCTGCGCAGTTGCATTGACTTATAGCCATCTATCTTTATGATGTAGCAATTATTTTTAAAGAAGTATGGCCCAATCATGCCAGCAGTTCAGAAAACAGCTTTAAGCAGTGCATTCTGAAGATTTGTCGGTAGCTGATAGATCGTATTTAGCTCTTGAAAACATTTTTTATTTTCAAAGTTACTGAGGCAAAGAAGGGGTCATAGCTTTATGGTGTGCCGTTCTAAATACATTTTCTACTGAACACGAATTTTGCATATATAGTATAATAGTATATAAACACTGCTTGGGCTGAAATTCTTTCATAATGTTTCAGTCTATCACTCACTTGATTACTCTTACACTGAAACAAATATTTATCAAAAGAAGACCCTATAATAACACTGACTGTAATGACAATAGATATTGCATCCAACAGCTTATAATGACAAATTCAACACTCTGAAATATGTGTTCAAGAAATGATCTTATAATCAAATTCAGCTATATGCATTCCATGAATAACTGTAAATATAACTGATTTTTTGCGCTCACTACCAATAACTATTGACACAGAACCTAGTATTCAAGGAAAAAGTCAAATTGATGCTTTAAATTAGTTCCAAGAAAGGAGTGTGAGTACATCTGAAAGAATATTTTACCCATAAAATGACATAAAAAAAATTAGCAGTATTAATTACTTATAATATTAATATTAATTATTTTTCAATATATATATTATGTTCTATGACAAGAGATCTTTATTTGAATTGAAAAAGAAAGGAATTGTGAGAATATTTTCAAATGGACTTGGACCTATCATCACTGGTATTTGGTGATTTTTTTAGTCATTTTTGGACTATAGCTTTTGAAATCCAAACAGAAAATATTCTAAAAGTTGGCTTATATCGCCGAATAGTTTTCACCCAATACAAATACATATATAATCCAGAAGCTGTTTAATTGTTTTATTTTACAAAGGACAATAAAAACAATATAAGTACTACTACTAAATAATATAAATAGTAAAAGGTAATAATATTAATTAAAAAACAAAAAATAAAGCATTAAATGTGCATTTAAAAAAATCCAATTACTTTTTCTCTACATAAAAAATGTTATTTTTTTTTTAAATAAAATTGATCAATTAATTTTAGAATAATTTTAATTTAATGAATATTTAGAGTTACCTTTAATATAATATTAATAACAATAATAAATATTAATTTATAATAATATGAATAAAAATGGTTTGTAAATAAATAAATTGTATATATTCAAAGTTGGACTTGAACAAGACGAATACTTTTTCTCCAATGATATTTACTAATCGTTTATTATAATTCCTTTTTTAATAATAAATATTAATTTATAAAGATATATGTAAATAATGATGGCTTTTAAGTTCAAAAAATTCAAACTTTAAAAGCTTGACTTAAAAATGCTGAATGTTTTTTGTCTAGAAACATGTATGTATTTGTATATTAATAATAAAGATTATTAAATATTATAATAAATGTAATAATAATTTGATTATTAATAATATTATTAATAATAATAATTCAATTATTTAATTCAAAATAAAATGAATAATAATGGTGTTTAAATTAAAAAAAAAATATTTAAAGCCGAATTAAAAAGTGCCGAATACTTTTTGTCCAACGATATTTAAATATATATACATAAAAATGTTTAAAAATGATTTATTATTAGATCTATTGGTTTTATAAATTATATATATCATTTAATGTTTTTCTTTAACTAATAGGTATGGTTTCAAAACAGACGGGCTAAATGGAGAAAAGCAGAGCGACTTAAGGACGAGCAAAGAAAACGTGAAAATGGCGAAAGTGGTAGTTCCTTAGAAAAGGTAAATTAAATAGATTTAGGCCTTTTACTAACTTTTAAAGTAACTGCTGCAACATGATGAAACCTCTTCACTTTTAGCTTCATGATAGTCGTGAATCATCACCTGATGTAACTGGAGAAATTGACGATGATGAACCGCGAGGTTCACATAGCCCTTCAGTACGTGATAGCCCACATGCCATCGATTCAGACAATGAACGTCCGCTATCGTCAACACAATTAACCACGAAATCAACATCACAATCCATTGGATCAATAAGTGCAGGTTCTCCATCGCCCAGTGAACGCACCATACAAAATCTCAATAACAGCAGCCCTTCCACCTCACGCAATACCGATTCGCCTATTGAAGTTGGCGGCCCCATTTCGCTCACGACACGCGCCTCCGTCAACACTACAAGCTCATTGCATACGCACTCCTCATTTGGAACTCACATATTTGGCAACTTTGCTAATGACACGTAAGTATAAATCAGTAATTACTCAATGTTCACATTGTTATTGTTCATTAGATAGTCGTTGTTGTTTTTATTGCCTCATAATTTCTTTATTTCATCCATTTATGAGTGTACGTACAACTACTTTAATCGTTTGTTTGCGTCTATCTATCGCATTAATATGTAGCACGTGGCATCAATTCAGAGTCATTAGACTCATGTAAAAAGACTAAAGTTTCCTCGCATAATGTTTCCGCCGCGCATGCCATTTCCGGAACTACTAGCAGCTTCTTACTTAGCTGACCAGGAAAGCAAAGGAAATAATTCTTTTGCAAATCATTATACCAGTCTAAAAATTCTTTTGTTCGGAATATCTGAATCGACGAACATTAAGAACTATGCTTCCGTTCGCTCTTTCAACTCATGAGCTGAATCACTACACCGTGGAATAACACTGAATAGCGGCACAAAGGCGGTTATCTCACGCTGTCTTGGCATAATACGACAAAAAAAAAAAGAAATAACGTAGAGCAACATTAATTCTCCCCTAACAAAATTAGATCGAATCTCAAGTGCGAAAATATATTTTATTGTCTTCTTGTTTTTTTTATTTTTGTTTGTGGCAAACGCTGTTTGCAAACGGACGGATACGTCCTCCATAATCCAACGTCTACACTCAATCGTATTCCATCTACAGCGGAGCGTAAAGTGTATTCATTGCAAATTAACATATTGGCCACACGCTGCGTTTAACGTCGAACGTTCAACGTTCAATGTTCGCTGTTCGACATTTGGCAAACGCACTAAAGAATGCTGCCTACTTTTAGGATAAATGCAAAACAAACTACAATGAATAAGAAATTAATTGAGCTCAACAATAATTTTGTCATCGAATTATCAAGTTGATAGCTAATTTAACCATTGCCGTTGCAATTTGGAAGTATTTGCAAATATTTACATTATTTCACCACTTCAACTACTTCAGCTTCTTCTTCAACTGTTTGAACTACCTCATTTGGCTTGCCTCATCACCCCTCGACTGTGCTAATGTCCGTGATTCATGCGGAACACAACAGCCGAGGGCGTCACTGCTGATTGCTGCAGATTGCTACTTACCGAGGCATTATGTCCACTTTCGAACAAAGGAACAGGATCGCAGCGCGCCATTCGTCCGCTCTATATAATGTCGACAATATGAATATGAAATGGGGTGCATGAAAATGTTACACTTGGTTTATTTGTTGTTTTTATTTACCGTTGATATTCTGTTACGCTGTTACACTGTTATGTTGTTACCTTGTTACACTGTTACACTGTTAAACTGCTGTACTCTTGAATTTTTGTATGTTTTTACCTTTTGTTGTTGTTGTTGTTGTAGTTGTTTCTGGTATATTTTCAATTAGACGACACTTGTAATAAATTTGTTTGTTTACTTAATTCTTAAGTGTCTTAGTGACACGAACGCAATTAACAAATCATTATACAACAAAGAATGATGTACTTGCCAAACCCCTCATCCATACCAATTTGCTTCAATTCAGTTTAAACACATACCCGTACCCATACCCATACCCATACCCATACCCATACCCATACCCATACCCATACCCATACCCACACCAATCGTTTGCTCAAATGCCAAATGTGTTAGACCAACCAAAACCAGTACTGGTTTGTATTAATGCACTCGGCGTTGACCGAAGAAATTGCTAAAATTGTAACAGAAGGGAAACAGTTTTTTTAATATTTTTTGAAATTCGAAAATTTGTTTTTATTAAAGGATAAAAGGATTTAAAACTCATTTGAGTTAATAACGAGAATGGTGATGTGCAATTTGTGGTATGAATGGATTGTAGCAACAGAAGTGGTTCGCAAACATATTTAAATGTCGACAGTTCAAGTATGTATTGTGGTTGCATTTGATAAATGATTTTCCTTTATGATTCCTTTATGATCTGAAACATGCTCTGAAACACCGAGGCATACATATTAAATTAAACTTATTTTTAAACTCTGATATTGTAATATTATTTATCATTTACGATGAGTTTTAGAAATAGTTATAGTTAAATAGTTAAATAGATGAATCAAAAAAGTATAAACAAATGGATTTAAGTATATAAGTATATAGGCGCTTAACTCTTTAACTCACATCACTATATATATTCAATAAAGAAATTAAAAAATACTATTATTTATTGATGAGTTCAATTGGCTACAAAACACCTTACACTCTTCCCAAATTAGCGTGATATGTAGTAACACTCACTATGTATTCAATATAAAAATCCAGAAAATACTCTTAGCAAAACACCTTAACCTCAATGTTAATTCTCGCTTGCCCAAGGTGATGCGCTTCTATGACGAAGAGCAACTATTTGAAAATTAGACGAATTCAAATGGGAATGAAAAGACAAGAACAAAAATTTATTTAACTTATTGAAATTTAGCTGACCATACAATGCTGTTTCGAGTATTATCAAGTACTTATCATCATTGGTCTTAGGAAATATTCCAATTTCTTAATTAGTTTATAGTCCGTATATAACCACATTTCGGGGACGCTCTAATTAATTGATGACGTTTGACGTTTTTACCTCGCTCTTATCTGTGTACCTTGGATCCACAAAGTGAAATTTTTATTTATTAAGCTCCGATGTTAAGCAAACTGGCAACATGGACTAATAGAGGTAACATCGAATTTTCTTAATTACATCTAGAAGGCTCAATGGTTACACAAATACAGCACTAAATGTTATACTGGATAAAGTAGTGATTATAACGCGTCTGATCAATGAAACTTTAAGGACTGCACAAAGAGTAATAGATCTTTCCGTATAAAAGTAATAATATTTGTATTAATAAGAAGCTAATCTAACTAAAGATTATTAGAATGAATTTGTATACAAATACCTCTTCTCTATTAAGACTATTCTTCTTAATATTAGCTAATAGTCTCCTTCTCTGCAACACGAAGTTCATATACGGTAACAGTCTTATCGGAGCACTTATTCTTAACTTGACATCACAAAATGTTAGCTTAATTGACTGAAAATAATAATGTACACATTACAGGACCTTTTCAGTTCATTTAACGAAAATACTACAAAACTAATAAAAGGATAAGTAGGCAAACTGAGTAATGTGAACAATTGTTTAGCATTGTTTCGCAGTAAGCAGACAAACAAATAATTTATAACATTCCAATCTTACGCCTCTGCTCTCAGTGGGAACTCTTATTGTACCGAAATCTGCATTAAAATACTATTTACTTTTTCATATGAACACCTCTCCACGGGGGGCGAAACCTGGAGACACTAGTTGTTAGCGAGTAGAACTTCTGTAAACATGACTCCTGGCGGCGTCACGAGAGTACGCCAAAGCCACATACAATCGCAATGATCGAAATGTGTTTAAACAAAAACAACACGTCATTTGCCAAATGTCAATTCTGCCGCCCGCTGGTTTACCACTGCTCCTGTGGCTTAGCGATACTTACTCAATATTATTTCATCCGTTGTCTCGAGATTAGTACGTCAGAGCAAAATAATGATTGAGTTATAAGGGGACGGTAAGGATATGCAGTATTTTTATAGTGTGTTATGTTCTGTTAATGAGATTTATTGTAGCATCGACATGAAATTCTTTACTAATTGATAACTCCAAAGGGATTTCTTCTTTAACAATATAATTTTGCATAATTATGATATAATAATTAGTCATTTTTAACCTGAAAGTAATTAAAAGCGGTTTTTAAACCTCAGTAAAATGACTTTGTGATACTCTTTGCAGCAGTAAGACCCTTGATCTCCCTGTAGGTTCACACTTACTAACCTTGTGATATCCTTTTCAACTTACTTGTAAAATTAATAAGAACACTTTTAAAAATCGATACGTAATCGTTAGTTTTTAATGCATTTAGAAGTTATTTACGTAGGTAAGTTCACAGAACCCAAATTTAAAAACGGAACCGAATTTCTTGTAAGAGCTGAAGAAAGCAAGATAAAATAATACATAGTGTTCCTCAAAGTCTGTTTAACCATATTAAAATCTAAGTCTTTAATAAAAAAACTTTTCTCTTTTCTTTCCTTTATAGTAATTGCATCATCCACTTATAGAAAATCGTCTGATTTACTGACTTATATTTTTACGGTTCTTAGGTTTCATAAGTTTAAGCTATCAATTGATAGATAGTTATTCCTCAAAAAGTAAATTTCACGTACAAATAGAATAAGTTCTTTCTAAAAGATTTTTGGACTTTGATCTACATCGTAAAATAGACCTACCCTAGATTTTTTCAGGATTCAGGAATCAGGATTTTTTGGATTTTAGTTCTGTGTCATAAAATATACATACCCTTAATTTTTTCTAAAAGAGTTTGGATTTTTTGGATTTTAGTGCTGTGTCATAGAATAGACTTACCTTAGGTTTTTTCTAAAAGAATCTGAAGTTTTGGTTTATTAGTTTTTTGTGTATAGAATATAGAATAGACTTACCTTAGGTTTTTTCTAAAAGAATCTGAATTTTTGGTTTATTAGTTTTTTGTATATAGAATATAGAATAGACTTACCTTATGTTACCTATTTTTTCTAAAAGAATCTGGATTTTTGAATTTTAGTTCTTTCTCATAAAATTTAATTTACGTCTTCAATTAAGTTATCTGTTTGGATTGTCTGAGACTGTTTAAAATTATCTATATCAATCTGGCAACCACTGTGTGTGGGCTGCTTTTAATGGTTAGCAAGTTGTTTCATTCTTCTTGTTGTACGAGCATCCGTCGTGTTCGGTTGTGTTTCGTGTTGTGCAGTAAATTTGTTTGAGTTTTGTTCTAATTACATTTAAAAATATGTTTTATATGATAAGTAATATTAGAGATAAATAAATGAAATATTCTTTGAAACTTTAAAGAAAGAAAAAACCGCATTTAAGCGAACAGAGACCTATAACTTCTTACTTACTTACTGAGACCTATAACACTTAATTTAATTTAATACTTAATTTAATAATAATTAATTTAATACTTA